AGTTTTATTAGAAACTTTCAGACAGGAGCTTATTTAGGGAATGAGAAGACTTGGAGATATTGGTAGTTGGAAGAAATACATTTTAAAAAAATCTTTACCTCAGGATATGTTTATTGATTTTGAGAGAGAAGCAAGCAGACATCGATCCGTTGCCTCCATTCACACCCTGACCAGGGATGGAATCCACAACCTTTTTGTGTGTGTGACGAGGGCATTCTAATCAACTGAACCACCCAGCTGGGTTGGAAGAAATACATGGTGAGAGACTGCTTGTTGCTGAGAAGGAGGGCTTTCCAAGAGTGCACCTCAGAATTGAAACAGTAGGAGTAAGCATGGGCCCTTAGGATGACAGTTGTACTTGGCTGCTCTGGTCCGCCACCCTTCAGCCTCCACCAGCCTTGCAGGCGGCACCGGCAGTTCCAGGGCAGCAGCTGCAGTGCTTCCCAACCCTTGTGTGGGGCAGCTGGTCGGGAGGCACATAGAAGACAGACTGAGTGGCTCATTGGAGTCAGTAGGTCACATCCGGCAGGTTGCTCTCTCGGCTCTCCTTCCCATGTTGTATCAGCTGTCACAGCCTGCTAAATATTTGCAGTAAGAAGCCCTCTGGTTTTCCCACAGCACCTGTGCTCTCCTGGACTGGGTGTGTGGAAATAAAATGGCCTAGCTGGTTACTAAATAACAAGATGGCGGGTATATTGTTTGGGTTTTGTTGTGTCTGCTTCCTCTTCATGTCACTGAGTGCAGGAAGAGATGAGTTTCGTTAATGTTCATTAATTCATTGACTCAAGGGGTAGCCAGCAGCAGGCATCACTAGAAGCCTTTTAATATTAATGTGCTTTGATATCAAGTTCATGCCCTTATCTCCGTTGCCTGCATCAAGGTGCTATATGTGAAATGGCCACAGGAAGAAGCTCAGGTTAGTAGACTAGGAATAACTGTTTTTACTGGGGAACACAACATAAAAAGAGAGGCAGGTAAGTACAAGCAGTCATTTCAATTACTCTACATGCACATTAGTAACAAATATTGGTAGGTTTGTGTTCCTCGGTTGCCTGAACCCAGTGTACTCTTAAAGTTGGTGCCTTTGATATTCTTTGAGATTCTAACCACATAGTGCTTCAGTTTTGTTTGGGAGATGCCAGCAGCTTACATATTCGTATTGAAACTGAATGTAGTATGGTGCTAGCCATTGAATTTTAAAAATTGTCATCTTGCCCTGTCTAGTGTGTCTCGGTTGGTATGTCGTCCCATACGCCAAACAGTTATGGGTTCAATTCCCTGTCAGGGGACATATCTAGGATTTTTTTTGGGAGGGGGGTGACCCCCTCCTCAGGGCATGAAGCAACCAATCAGTGTTTCTCTCCCTCTTCCCCTCTCTCCTCTTCTCCCCTCTTTCCCCTTCCCCACCTTTTCTTCTCCCCCTCCTTTCCTTCCTTCCTCTCTCCCTCTCAAAAAAAGAATAAAACATCCTCGGTGAGCGGGGAAAATTGTACTCCTCACGACTGACCCACCCTTCCAAGCTAAGGTGGGTCCTGATGACCCTCCCACCTTCTCTAAGTGCAGCTTATTGGTTCCCTCTAACAGTCTGACAATGACCATAAACTTATTAACTTAGAATAAGTGAACCATATACAGATATGTGTTAACTTACAAAAATACGATGTGGGGAAATTTAGATCTGTATAACAGCCAGGGAGCGAAGAGTAATAGCCACTTTCTTTTTACCAGAGGACGCTTATCCACATTTTTCATGTTTTTAGGAACATGTTATAAAAAGAACAAAGTAATGTCCCTCTTCCAATTTTGAGAAGAAACACTTCTAGATTCTTTTTGTGAGGATAATCTTCCTTGTGCCTAGCCGATGGGGTCCTCTGTGGAAGAAATTTACCCCGTACAACTTCCTGGTAAAAGCTGATCTGTTTGTTTATTTTTTTAAATATATTTTATTGATTTTTCTTACAGAGAGGAAGGGAGAGAGATAGAGAGCTAGAAACGTCGATGAGAGAGAAACATCCAATAGCCGCCTCTTGCACACCCCCTACGTACATGCCCTTGACCGGAATCGAACCTGGGATCTTTCAGTCCTCAGACCGATGCTCTACCGCTGAGCCAATGGGTTTCGGCAAGCTGATCTGTTTAACCTCAAATACAAGCATTTTTCAGATTGCCATTAAAATACAGTCTGTAAACTGACAACTGGAGTTTTAGGGTTTGCTGTGAGTCCAGTCTGCCCAAAGCACCAATGTAGGTACAGGTAGAGGATATTGGAGCAAATTTAAATACAGTTAACTTACACTGATTTCTGCTGACTTTTCCAAGGCTTTCCCTTATATCACTTAACATTTGGGATTTTTGCACTATGAGTTGACATGGAGAATTATCTATTCTCCTTTGCTTTCAGAGCTTTAGAAGAGATTTGCAACTGGTATTTGGCGGGGGGGGGGGGTGCATTTTGAAATAATTGTTCTGTAACTATTGTGTTGCTGCTATTCCGGCTGTCCAAACTAATCACTTCTGGCTGAAATTTATATCCATTTTATTCTGCCTCTACCAAAAATGGCTCCCCCTCCCTGAAATTCTTTTGGCTTGATTTATGAGTTCTTTTTGTTGTTGTTTTGTTGTTATATATATATTGATTTTTAGAGTAGAAGGGAAAGGGGGAGAGGGAGAGAGAGAGAAAGAGAAAGAAAGAGAGAGAGAAAAACATTAATGATGAGAGAGAATCATTGATCGGCTGCCTCCTGCATATCCCCTACTGGGGATGGAGCCTGCAACACAGGCATGTGCCTTTGACCAGAATCGAACCTGGGACCCTTTAGTTTGCAGGCTGACGCTCTATCCACTGAGCCAAACCAACTAGGGCTATGAATTCTGTTCTTAAACATTCTGCATAAATGCCTAGTTTCTCTGAGCCAACTCTTCTCTCTTACTGAATAGGTGATGTTATGTTTTTAACCTACTATGGAGGTGGCAAGGATATTTTACTTTGAGTATCCAGACTATGTAATTATCACAAGCTTTATAGGAGCGGCTTTGTCTGACCCAACTTTGGGAGATGCTTTGGTTTTCAGGGATAAACATTTTTAAAAAGACCTCAAAGTGAGATCCTCCTGCATGCTCATGGGGTAAACATCTGCCTGACCACTAGGCGCTTCCCAGGAGCTCTGCAGGAGCTTGGTTAATCCAGGGAAGCTCTGCTGCCCTTCCGATTTTCCTTCTTTCCTTGGAGGCTTCAGATCTTCTACAGGGTTAAAAGGTTTTCTTGGTGACTGAGTAAGCTTTGCTTGTTGTCACTTAAAATATACCACCAACAGCTCTCTCTCCATAGAACCTGGGTGCTTTCTTGCTACAGGTGGGATTGTCACTACTCAGAGAATTGCTGTCAGTCCTGTGCATTTATTTCTTTGTGAAGTTGTAGCTTGGTGGGGCCAAATGGCAGGTCTGGGCTTAAAAGACTATTTACTACTGCTTCTCTCTCTCTCTCTCTCTCTCTCTCTCTCTCCCTCCCTCCCTCCCTCCCTCCCTCCCTCCCTCCCTCCCTCCATGTCCTGGGGACCATGTGAAAATGGAGCTCTGGCTTCAGATCCCTGCAGTCTTGGCTTTTCTTCCCTCTTTCACTTAGGGAGACCAAAATGATGGTGTTCAGAGTTTGCTCCTCTGTGCTCACTTCCCTCCTTCCTCAGCCAGTCTCAGAAGCTCAGGTGCAGGGGTGACACTCCCCAGTTCCTCAATCCAGTTGAAGGCCTCCTTTTCTCACCCTCATAGTCAAACCCAAGTGCTTCATTTTACCAGCAAACAGTTAGATACTTTGTGCTCACTTTTTCACCAGTGGAACAATATTTGGTTTATGGTTTGAAGGGTCACTGTTAAAACAGAATACAAATGTTTAAGAATTCCAAGCATCTAGGTACTTTGCGAATGTGCTGGAGGTATGATTACCTCTCTTTGTATTTAAAGAGCTAGTGTTTCAGGACAAATTGTGTGTTTGCACATGTCTTTAATGTGCTGCAGCATCAATATACTAAGCTGTTCATGTGTCTGAAAATCTCAGTCATTTGACTTTCAGATGCATTATCTGTCTTTTGTTTGTTTTAACCATCTTGTCCAGCCTATTTGCTTTGTCTTATACTCAAACAGATTTGTACTCCAAGTGTCTAACAACCAGTAGTGGTGGGTGGGGGTAAAAAACGTATTAGAGGACCAACAGGATCAACCGGGGTCCCACTCCTGTTTGGAGGAATTTCCTATATTTTAGTAGAATTTTTTTTTTTATTAGTTTATGATTGTTTCACTAGATGGCAGGTAAGAAACTGACATGAAGTAAAATGCTGGCCCTTTTTCTAAAGAGCAGGACTGCTCTTCAGCTCAAGCTGAAGATGGGCAATATCCAGGTTTAGTTTATTTGAGTCTGATTTCCCTGTATGAGCACAGGTAATGGTGCTGGAAAGGTAGAGTCTTTTGTGCTCAGCTCCCCTCTTCCCTCAGAAAGTTTCTGAAACTCAGGCAGGGGTGAGACATTAATTTCTAAACCCGAAGCTTTAGCACAGTAGCTGATAAAAATTCTTAATTCTCTCCTTTCATAAAAATTTTGTATTACCTTTTAACTCAGACTACCACTTTCCCATCAGGCAGCTCCACAATCATCTGTGACGTTACCCTGCTCCATTTCCTTCTAGCACTTAGCACTGTGTGAAGTTAACCTTGATTATATTTTTGTTTAAAGTCTTATCTTCACTCCCTTCAGTGCTGTATGTCTAGCTTAACGTAGTAAATGTCTGGCACATGGTAGACATTCAGAACATTGGGAGGAAGGAATATTTGCCAGGAAAAGCAATAATTATTCAGGTATATTGTGTGTATTTGTTTCACTTTTGATCTCTGAGAAAACTGAATCTACCCAAACCTGTCTTTTCCGGCCTCCTTTCTTCAATTTTGGCTTGACTGTTGGGAAGAATGAAGGTGAATGCTTTTCTGAGTCTCTTTCCTCTCCCCCACTTTAGCTTGCCAGCAAAGCGCGGACAGAGAAGGAGGAGAAGCTGAGCCAGGCCTATGCAATCAGCGCTGGTGTCTCCCTAGAGGGCCAGCAGCTCTTCCAGACCATTCACAAGACGTGAGTTGGGGAGCACAGAGATCCCTTATCCCGGGGTGATGCTGCCTGGCTGTGCTGTCTGGTGGCTGACTTTCAGGTAGTTGTGTTCCTGAAAGTCTCCAGGGGAGCTGGGTAGTGTGTTAGCAATACCTTGACATCAGGGATATGAGTACTTGTTGCCCTTCCATACAGAAAAATGGGGTAATTGTGGACAAATTGTCTTCTCTGGTTAGTTTTCAGTTAGGTTATCCCTAAGGGTCCCTTCTATACCTAGTATTCTATAACTTCTATAACTAGTGATCTATTTGTCTTTTATTATTTCATGTTGTACCTTTCTCTAAAAGCTTATGCAGTTCTATTAAGGAAAAGTTATATCTCTTTTGCTCGTCCCAACGGTACATTGGGGTGAATGTAGGGAGTTAGGGAGAGCAGAAGGCCACTTTATTACCACCTTCTAAAAGACACTTTGTCACAGCAGAAGTCATTTGACTCCACTAGCTTCCCTAGTTGCTGAAAAACTGAACATTTGACACTCCTCCTCCCCCTGCTGCCTTCTGTTACCCTATTTAACCACCTGGGTCTGGTGCACAGATGGCAGCTGGCATCAGAGAGCTGTGTGAGGCCATGGTGTGAGTCTGAACCTTTACAGGTATGTGAAGGAATTCGCCGAGTAGTATCAGCTGTCCTGGGCTTCCCAAAGTGTGAGCTGGAATGGGTTTTCCCAGTCTAGCAAGTGCCCAGCTGCCTGATAATTGAGAGGGACCGTTTTGAGGAGCAGCTTCCATTTTAGGTGGCGGGCAGAGTACAGATCACAATAAGGTGGGGCATTTGTTCTTTCTTTCTGAAGGTGCCATTTCCCCGTAGGCCACAGTTTGGCAAACTACAGCCAGCAGGCCACATCTGCTTATTTGTTTATGTATCATTTGTGGCTGCTTTTATGGTACAGTGACAGAGTTTAGCAGTTGTGACAGAGATTGTATGGCCTGCAAAGCTTAGAAATTTGTTATCTGGCCTTTTATATAAAAAATTTATCAGTCCCTGCTTTGGTTGCTACTCAGGTTGAATCTAGAGGCCTGAGTCTAGCTGAACTCAATTTTGTTCGGACTTCTGGGGCTGCCACCAGGTCCCTAATGGTTCAGAGCAACTTTTCTGGGTCCTCCTCAGAGTAAATGTGCATCAGTGTCGTTGCTTTTCCCAGCCGGTGATTCCCAGAAATGTTTCTTGGCTCCTCCTCCTCATGGGCTGCTGGCAGCTAGTGTTGCCTGAGTGGTGAGCTGGGAACTTGGGGTCAGCAGGAGGTGTGGGGTGCCTGCAAGAGGTAACTTTCACCTGTTCTCTTTTGCTTCCAGCATTAAAGATTGTAAATGGCAAGAAAAAAACATCATAGTCATGGAAGAAGTTGTTATTACACCCCCATATCAAGTGGAAAACTGTAAAGGCAAAGAGGGCAGTGCACTGAGCCATGTACGCAAAATAGTAAGTATAAAGGAGCCACAAAACTAAGTAGAGAATGATTCCTTAGCCTTCACCCTCCAGCATCAGGGCAGGACAGTTCCCCTCTGACAGCCACCTTGTGAGTAGCCCTGCTTTGCCACCTGCCCTCCATGCAGCGTGCTGCTCTGCGGCTGTGGCCTAGACACTCCTGCAGGGGTGGACCCACCGAGTGGTGGGTCATTTGCAGTGTGGCCCTTTGTAATGGGTGGCTTTTCGAAACTGCATGATATTGGCCTGAGCAGTTCCTCTCTTCTCAGGAAGGGCTATTTGGTATAAATCAGTTGCCATTGGCGACTGGGACCCTGCATATGTCAGCTGACTTTTTAGATTGAGTTGTAGCATTTGTAAAAACAAAACAGCACTGAAAGACCAACATTGTGAATGTAAAAAGTTTAAGACTAATTCCCCACTTGTCTGAAGAGGGGAGAGGGATTTTTGGATCATAATAATCTCTTTTCAGTTTCCATTTTAGTTTATAGATTCATCTTATTTTAGCCAATCTTAGCTAAAGCTGCAAAAATTGTGGCTGAAACAAGTGACCTCCCCCCATCCCCCCAACAGCAAAAGCCAAGGTGCCTGAATGATCTGTGGGCTGGTCAGCCAGGAGGGGGCTGTCGAAACCCGGAGCAGACTGTTTGAGAGGCCTTGTGTGCCCGACTCCTTTTCTGACCTAGGTGACTGGTCTCTTTCAGGTTGAAAAACATTTTAGAGATGTGGAAAGCCAAAAGACACTGCAGCGTTCACAAGCCCAACAACCACAGAAGGAGGCTGCCCTGTCATCCTGAGTCCACACACACGGAGGACTCTTCCAGCATCCAGCCAAGGAGGCGACGGTGGTGGCTTCGGCGGAGGCAGGCCGGGGGAGGGAAGGGATCCTATATTTCCTGCTGGCTCTTGTTAACAGAGGGTCAGCGTTTCTAAATCTTAGACTTGAACAAACAAAACACCCAACAAAAAGAACAAGAGAATAATTTAAAAGTTGAATCATTACTTGACTAACAGACTTTGGTCCACCATGTCCTTTTCACAGCTCCCTTCTGGAACAGTCACCTTGTTAATTTTATTTTTGAAAATTTCTTCCTGGCTCTACCCTTTCCCCTCCGACTTCTCATTTCCTAGTCTGTCCGAGTCATTCTGTTGTTACAAGTGGCCACACTTACCTTGTGAACGATTGAAAGAAACTTTTACATCTTCCAAAATAAAAGTAACAAGCTGACTGTGGTACTGCAGTTGAGAACAGCAGACAGAGGTCTCACTTTAAATTCCGCGCCCCCTTTTTTTTCTTCTTCTTTTTTTTTGCACAGGGCATGGCTTGAATTAGTTTTATTTTTCTTAACTTTAAATATATATATGAAAATATATATTAAAATGTTCTCTAAATATTTTCTGCTTCTTGCAGGTCTCTTTTTACTAGATCATGGCCACTCTTCCCACCTCATCCCTCTGAAAACAAAAATGTATTGCCCTCCCCACCTCCCATAGCCAGGCAACTAACTTGACTTAGTTTCACAGCAAGAATCTCCGGCAGCACTTTGTAGAGCCAGCGCGTGCAGGTGGGAGTTGGCTTTGAGGGTTCCTGGTGGCTTTTAGTCCTTGTGTGTGTACCAGGCTCACATTTGGCTGAAACCTCAGGATTCTCCATCTGCCTTTTGTCTTACTTCACGGTACTAGAAGAACTCCTCACTTCTCTCCTGTCTCCTACATGAGAGCGCCAGCTGCCCTTTTCTCCAGTGTCCTCTGCAGAGCTATTTGCATGGCACGTTCGGCTCCTCCTCGAGGGATGATATTCTTTTATCCGAAACCTGGAGTCCACCGATCTCCACCTCTCTTTAAGTGCATCCAGAGGCAACAGCCCAGGAGAAAGTTTGGGTTGCCTATAGTTTCTCTTCTGACAACCTCCTACTCTTACGCCCATGCCCACTCCCTTTAAATTTTACAAGCTTATGACAGTTTGTATGTGCTCAGCCATTGGGCAGAAAACCTGAAAAGAATTCTGGACTTTAGCCCACCAGTTTGTCTGGTTTGATAACCTGCTGAGAGCCAAAACTGGCACCTGCTGTCCCATGCCTTTAGGGCCATCCAGTGGGGCAGAGAGTGCCACCATTGAGTATCGGGCACTGAGTGGGATGTGGGTGATGCTCATGTGACTGGCTAGAGCTTTGGGGGTGGGGTGGGGGTTAACTACTATTTTTTTGGCCATGATCTTTTCCCCCTTCCTTTTTTTTTTTTAATTAAATAAATGGATCAAAATTAAATAATTCAAGCCCTGCCTTCAAAATGAAATTTTTTTTTTAGTATTGTTTAGCAAAAAACAATAAAAACCCAAATTTTTTTAACCATCACTCATGTCTCGGGTTTGTGTATCTTCAGAGGCCCCAAAGGGAGAGGATATGAGAGTATGTGTGTTTGGTTTGACTTTTCCATTTAGTTTCTTCACTTTCTACTTTTAACCCTCTCTCCTCCACTCCTTGAGAAATCACCCAGAGATTCGGTACAAAGTGTGTCATTTAAGAAGGGCATCCAGGGTTGGGAGTAGTGGGCAAGTGGAGTAGCAGAATAAGAGGCTGGGTACATGCATCAAACCATTTGAAGTACCATGCCTTTGATTTGGTATGCACAGACATGTAGACTTCTGGGAAAGGGAAAAGAGAAGAGACCTTGCAGGATCTAGAGAGCCTAAGAGGTACGATTAAAGGGGTGAAAGTGATGAGAAAAATAGCAAGCCCAGGGGGAAGCGCTCTGTCTCATGCCTGTGTTATCATTTCCTCCCTATTAGTCTAGGTCTGTATTAGGAGATGCTCTAATCTTCTTCTCCACATACACACACAGCTCTATACACCAGCACCCGATTACCTCCTCATTGCCACATAAGCCTTTACTGCTGTTTAGAGCATCCAATTTGTTTGGTATAAACAGCAAAAACAACCACACTGAGCTGATACAGAATCTGCCATGTAAATTGAGTAGCTCATTACTGATTAGTGTTGAAAATATGAAGATTGTTCAAGCACTTCAATATTAGTTTAGGGGCTCTAGCCAGGTTCCTTGACATTTTTGAAGCTAAGAATGTGTGTGTCAAAAAATATGTTCTACCTGGCCTGTAAGCTCAGTGGTTAGAGCACCGACTCACAAGGTCAGGGTCTTGCGTTTGATTCCTGGTCAAGGGCACATACCTGGGTTGCAGGTTGCATCCTTGGCCCCATTTGAAGCGTGTGTGGGAGGCAACCAATCAATGTATGTGTCACATCCATGTTTCTCTCCCCCTCCCCTTCCCTTCCCTTCTCTTCCACTCTCTCTAAAAAAATTCAATGGAAAAAATATCGGGTGAACCGGGACCGGTTTGGCTCAGTGGATAGAGCGTTGGCCTGGGGACTGAAAGGTTCCAGGTTTGATTCTGGTCAAGGGCATGTACCTTGGTTGCGGGCACATCCCCAGTAGGGGTGTGCAAGAGGCAGCTGATCGATGACTCTCTCTCATCGATGTTTCTAACTATCCCTCTCTCTTCCTCTCTGTGAAAAATCAGTAAAATATATTTAAAAAATATATATATATATCGGGTGAGGATTAACCAAAAAAATAAAAAGCTGTTCTTCCTTAAGGAAAGAGTAGAGAGAGTTTTCAGTCATATACATAAATAGAATCTCCTGTTGATAGGCTACTGTGCTGAGAATGTATAGTGTTAGAAACTACAATGTACAAGATGAGGGTTGGGACAAGGTCAACTCTTTTGGAAGACGATCATTGTTTACGCGGTGGATTTGTTTTCCCATCATTGCTGCGGTCTCTGGGTGCCAGAGAATTCATCAGCCCGTACCACCTAAACTTCAGGGGTTTAACACATGAAGAACCTTACAGGTGACGAAGGGGTGCTGTTGGGCTGCTATCCGCTGGTGGTAGACTGCTGCTGGGTTATAAAGTTTCAAAAACAAGTTCTTATCTGGCTTATTACAGGAAAATTAGAAAATAAGGCAAAAATTTTTCATCTATCACCTAAGACATTAACACCTTTCATATATTCTAGGTTCTAAGATGCCTCTTCCTATCTCTTGCATTGCTGAAAGTGCAGTGTACTTCACAATGTCAGAAGAAACTTGTCAACTAATCCCTTAATTTCTAGCTCACAAGGTGCACTCTATAAGTGTTGGCATGTTAGATGTTATATATAAAAGATATATATATGATATGGGTGAAGGCTTTCCTTATCCCTGCTGCTGGCACCGGCTTCCCTCTGGCACCCAGAACCCGGGCTTCCCTCTCAGCTCCCGCTTCATCCAGAAGATCGTCTGGAAGGACGTTTGATCTAATTAACATATTACACTTTTATTATTATATAGTGGCATGTATGACTTGTAATATAGTTACTTGTTTAGGTTTATCTTTAGTGGTCTAATGGGGATTTTGAGACAAGACTCTTTTGAGGCAAGGATTATGGCTTGCACATTTTTGTATTTCCTAGTAGCCCTGCAAATGAATCTGTCCACCGGTAGCTCTCTGCAAGACTTGGCCTCTTGGCACCCACTGCCCAGAAGCCCATCTGCGGCTGGGTGCAAGACACTTGCCTCATTGCCGCGGCAACAAAGCAAGCATTCTGCCAGGCCACTCACACTGCGCGCGCTCAGCAGCTCCTCCCCTGAGACTGGGGGACTCTGGCTATACTAAGAGGACTGGAAGCTGCCATCTTGTGGCTAAGGGTGCCGACATCTTTGTGATGGTGTGATGGTTAATTTGCATATTACCCTTTTATTAGATAGGATGTCGCAGTTGTGGAGATAAGACTGAAGGTAGATTTTTGGAAATCATCAGTTTAATAATTTGAGCCATAGTAAAAAGTGGTCCAGGATTGACTGGGTTTTGAAGAAATCTTGAAATCAGGTTTGGGAAGAGAACAGGGATCAAAGACATGGGAAGGGCTGGGAAGGAAAGCGTCTCTCATTCCAACTTCAGAAGCAGCAGGGCTTTCCCCCAGGTTTCTCCAGAGCAGATTTGGGTGACTGGGACCAACGCTGGTCAGATTATGGCCTCTCTCTGAATTTTTATTGATTTCAGAGAGTAAGGGAAAGGGAGAGATAGAAACATCCAATGATGAGAGAGAATCATTGATGGGCTGCCTCCTGCGCACTCCTGCTGGGGATCGAGTCCACAACCTGGGCATGTGTCCTTGGCTAGAATCAAACCTGAGACCCTTCAGTCCGCAAACTGATGCTCTATCCACTGAGCCAAACTGGCGAGGGCTCTCTTTTATTTTTATAAATATTATTGAATATTACATATGTTCCCTCTTTTTTTCCCCATTGACCCCCTTCTTTAATTTTCAATTTTGTTGAAAAGTCTAAAGAGGAGTAGTTTCTGAACTGGTGAGATGAAGGTAAGGCATATTTCTACTGACTTAAGTAACCTCTTCTCCCTTTTCCCAACTAATTATGATGCTAATTCCAGCAGGTAGTCTTCAGTGGAGGGACTAACAAGTGGTTTCTTTTTCTAATCTGGTCCCTTTATTCTGATCTCTGGCTTGAAGTAGTTGCTTATGCTTTAAGAAAGTGTGTGTACTGCTTTAAAGAATATTCTGGGATGGCCTCTGAGATGTGACTTAAGCTGAAAGTTGAACAGGTGCCTGCAAAGAGTGCTCAGATAGAAGGAACAGTAAGTGCTAACATTGAGGTTGGCAAGAGGTTCAGATGTTTGGGAACTGCTAGAAGGAAGGTGGCGGAAGTGTAGTCAGCAGGACGGAGCAGTGGGCAGGAGGACTAATGGACACTTCATGCAGGGCCTTGTGGCCATTGTAGGG